ACTACGAATGGCGTAATTTTCATCTATTAAACCATTAATTATTTATCCTGTGCCACAATTATTTTATCCGATTATATATATTTTTTTTAAAGTTGTGTAATAATGACGAAAATAGTAGACCGCAGTCGAAAAAGCGACGACGCAGCACTAGAGATGCAAATCGGTTCTATTGATTAATCGGTTTTTATTATACTGAATATACAAGCCGATCGAGCCGATCGAGCCGTTTTGCATCACTACGCAGCGCACCTTAATTTCCGCATGCCAACTGCGGTCGATCTGATTTTCTTCTTGGCAATTTGTTCGGCCGGTAATATGATGATAATAATATGATCTGTAATACTTTTTAACGAGATAAAAAAGAAAAAAAAAAACTATAAAAGATAGAATTTGAAGCCTCTTTAACCATTATCCACTTTTTTCAAAACCATTGAAAAGAAATTTTTTTTTCTACTTTTGTATAATTTAATAAAAATCCTTACACGTATCTATACTCGTATATTTCTATTTCAATCAAAAATCATGACTGATTTCACTGCAATTTTTCAACCTTTTTTGGACCTGTTTAATCAAGGACAAGTACAAGCTATTCTATTGGCATGGCTTCCAACAAAGATAGGACCCTATCTATCTGGAATAATGGCAGTAGATATGTTTGTAACCACAGTCATAGCTTCAGGACTTACTGTATTGTGTGCAGCACTATATGCTATATCACAATCATTACTTACAGGTAGTTGTTGGAATGGAAATTTAGTAACAGTACAAATCGAGTATTATGTCACTGGTAAGTAAAGAAAAAAAGAAAGAATATATATGTATATACATTTTTATCGTAATATATTTGATATTGATTTACAAATTCCATCTTGTAGGTACATATGGAGATCAATATACCAGCACATTTTACGAAGCTTTGTCATGGCTCATTTCCAAACAAACCAAAAAATTGGATAAAGGATCATTCATCGTTCAACCTACCAATGATCTGATTTCTCAAGAAGATGAGGAAGATGAATGTGCACCACCTTCTTTTAACATCCTTCCCGAAAAGAATCAACGAATTAGTATTGAATATAATAAACGCAAATTTAATGTTACATTTAGTCT